TCCACCATAGAGGCATGGAGCATTGCCAGGTGGCCCTCTACTGCTGCCCTTCCCCACCACTGCACCAGACTCCAGATCCCAGGACTGCCAGTCCAAGAAAGCAGACTCTTATGAGCCTTTCTGTCTAAGTACGACGCCCCACCTCAGCCTTCTCCAGTTCCATAAATCCCACTCTCCTTCCCTGACCCCTTATTACTTTAAAATAATTTTAGCAGGGGGCTAGAGAGATGGCTCAGCAGTTCAGAGCACTGGCTGCTCTTTCAGAGGACCCAGGTTCAGTTCCCAGCACCCACATGGTATCTGACAACTCCGGTTCCAGGGAATTCAACACCCTCTTTTGGCTTCTGCAGGCACTGCACACCCATGATGCACTTATATACATGCAGACAAAACACTCATAAAATATAAATAAACAAGTAAATGATCGAACCAGGCATAGTGGCACATGCGTTTAATCCCAGCACTCCAGAGGCAGAGGCAGGTGGATCCCTGTGAAATTAAGGCTAGCCTGGTCTACATAGTGAGCTCCAGGCCAGCTTGGGGCTACAGGGAGATCCTGTCTCAAAAAATTTTGAAAATATTTCTAGCAAATACTCAAGGAACCCTTCTTGTGATGGGCACCAAAGATGTGACCTTGGGGTGCTTACCTCATAGTGGGCACAGTGGGCAGTGAGCAGCAAAACACTAATATGCAGATGGCTTTCCAAGGTTCTAAGTCCAAAAAAGTGGCCGGGTAGTGAAAGATTACCCAAGGCATGATGGCACGGGGAACAGTGTTCAGAGAGGTCGCACTGACATGGGGAATGGAGAGTGTTTGTCATCGAGATCTCAGCACTTGGAGATTTAGGACAAGCAGGGCATGGTAGCTCATGCCTAAAATCTCAGCACTCTGGAGACTGTGGCTGGAGGACCGCTGAGCATCTGAAGCCAGCCTGGGCTACATGGTAGTTCTAGGCCAGCCTGGGGTATGTACGAAGTGACACCTTGTCTCAAAAAAAAAAAAAAAAGGCAAGCAACAAATAGGCCAGGTGTGGTGGTGGTCCTAGTACTTGGGGCGTCCAGGCAGGAGGATCAGAAGTTCAAGGTTATCCTAGGCTACAGAGCATGGTTGAGGCCAGCCTGGGCTGCATAAGACCAAAAAAGAGATTTGAGGTACAAAGATCAAAGGACGAACTGAGCTCAGCCACAACAGTAAGTGCCAGGAGAGGGGAAGGGGCCTGACCAGATGGTGCCAAGGCAAAGGGCACTGAAAGGAGTGAGGGGTTCATTCATGACACAGTGGAAAGTCCCGAGGAGGCTGCATGGATGAAACCTTATGCATTTCCCTGAAAGACTCTGCCTGACCCAGGCCCTATTCAGGAGGAAGCAGGAGAGCCAAACCTTGTTGACTCCTGCCCCTGGAGGAAAAGCTTCCCCAACAGGGACACCAGTCACCTATCCCCGCTTTCCCAAGAAAGTGCCTTAGTTAGGCTTTAGGTTCAATTGTTTGATAGTTTACTGAGGAGCAGGGGAAGTTAGTGGGGTGTGAACCTCTTCTGAATGGTTACCTAAGACTTCTGAGCATATTTATTTTTTATGAGTGTTTTACCTGAAGGTATGTAAGTGTATCACATGCATGTAGTGCCTGCAGAGGCCAAAAGATGAATCAGATCCCCTGGAACTGGAGTTAATGACTGTTGTTAACTGCCTTTTGGGTGCTGGGAACCAACCCCTTCCCCATTCTCTCTAAGAGCAGCCAGTGCTCTTTTTTAAAAAATATTTTATTTAGGCCGGGCATGGTGGCACACACCTTTAGTCCCAGCACTTGGGAGGCAGAGGCAGGCGGATCTCTGTGTGAGTTCAAGGCCAGCCTGGTCTACATAGTGAGTTCCAGGACAGCTGGGGCTACAGGGAGACCCTGTCTCAAAAAGACCACACAAAAAAAATTTTTTTTGTTTTTATTTTATGTATATGAGTGAGTGTATTGCCTGCATATGAGTGCACTCGTGTCATGCAATGCCTCGGAGGTCAGAAGAGGGCTTCAGATTCCCCTGGAAGTTAAGGACAGTTCGTAGCTGCCATGTGGGTGCTGGGAATCGAACCCTGTTCCTCTGCAAGAGCAGCCAGTGCTGTTAACCACTGAAGCATCTTTCCAGCCACTCCTGAGCATTTTATGCAAATGAACCTAGAAGTGGTTTCTTCCTGATAAGCAGGAACCAAAGGGTGGAGGTGCCCTGATGCCAGGAAGCTGAGTCAGTGAGCACAGGAAGTCATCTTCCTGCATTGAGGAGCCAAGTGCTAAACAAAAGTGACCCTCAAGAAAAGGTAGCCTGTGGCGCACGCTGTGGTCCCAGCACTCGGGAGGAAGAGACAGGCGGAGCTCTGTGCGTTGGAGGCCAGCCTGGTCTACACAGTGAGTTCCAGGACAGCTGGGGTACAGGGAGACCCTGTCTCAAAAAGACCAAAATAAAAGGTAGGCTGTGCCCAGGGCCAAGAAATCACGAAGATTTGACCTGAGAGAATAGGGGAGGGTCTTGGCCTCACTGCCTACGCAAATACAGGCTTTTTTGTTCTGTGTTCGAATGTTTTGCCTGCATGTATGTAAGTGCACCACATGTGTGCAATGCCTGTGGTGGTCAGAAGAGGGTTGTATCCCCTGGAACTGAAGTTAGCCACCATGTGGGTACTGGAAACTCAACTTGGGTCCTCTGGAAAGAGCAGCCAGTGTTCTTAACTGCTGAGTCATCTTTCCAGCCCCACACAAGCTTTTTGATCCAAAACCACTGGTCCCTGGATCTGGCATTTCTTACTCCCCAGGATTCCAGTAGCAGAAGCACAGGGTTGTGCCCACTTTACTCTGGAAGCATTAGTAGCAGGCAGGCTGGAATTCCTGGGCCTTGGAGGAAGAATGGGGCTGGGGACTTTGCATTCCTTGTCCCTGGGCCAGCTTCTCCCTGGACCTAGGCACTTCCCCCTGAACTCACTAGCCAAAGAGAAGCTGGGATATGGGGTGAGAGGAAGCCCAGGGCAAGAATATCGAGGCTCATCCTTGCTTCTCTTCAGGGGGCCTCTGCAACCTGAGCCCAGACAGGGCCAACAAGGAACACATCCTGCAGGCAGGAGGCATCCCACTCATCACCAACTGCCTGTCCAGTCCTGATGAGGAGACGGTGTTATCTGCTGTGACCACACTCATGTACCTGAACTCCCCAGGCCGCTGCTCCCATCCTGAGCTCACCTCCATGCCTGTGGTTCAGTGCATGCTACGCTTCTCTCTCTCAGCCAACACGAGGCTCCAGAACCTGGCTCAGATCTTCCTAGAGGACTTCTGTTCCCCAAGCCAGGTGGCTGAAGCTCGAAGCCAACAAGCCCACTCTGCCCTGGGTATCCCACTGCCAAAGACCGAGACCCCACAGCAGCCCTGATCCAAGGAGACACTGAGGCCCTACTATTTTTCCACTGGAGACCACAGTCCTGGCGCAGGTACAGGAAGAAGCCCCTTAGCACTTGAGCCCAGTCTGCTTAAGTGGGGCCTATTCAACTATATGCAAGGTGAGGTTTCTCGACATAGGTTTTCAGTTAGGAACAAAGACGCCAGATTTTGAGTAGGACATCAAAGCTGGTATGGCTGATACGGACTAGCACTTTGAACAAACTGCAGGCCAAGGCACACCTCTAGTGCCAACTGCCAGGCTAACACTTTCATATAAAAACTTTCCACAGGGGTATATACAAGAGCAGCCGTTGGAACCAAGACTTAGGACAGTGGACTGTGCCTGAGGAAATAGGAACAGAAGCGTCCAGTCATTTTGATGACTAGAGATAAGAATCGTATTAGCTGAGAAGGTACTGTGATCCTGGCCTGTGGAGGACCAGGAGGGCTGGGCAGCCCAGGAACTGCTGTCCATGCAGCCTACCATGGGCTCGGTACTGGGAGGGCTTCAGTGATGAAGTGGTCACTGCTTTTGGATGAACCAGCCCAAAGACTTAACTGCATGGCCATCTGACATGAAGAGGAAGGCCCTCCAGGTGTTGGCACCTCAGAATAAAGGCAGGAGAATTGGGCATAGGGGTGCAGGCCTTGTCCTTTTGGGAGAGGCCAAAGATACTGGGGTATTGAGGTGAGCTACTCCAGCCCCCTTTACTGGTGATCTTTGTGGAGGATCCTCTGGCACCCAGATGGGAACCTAGAACATAAATCTCCTGGATTCCAGATCTGCTTCCTGTCATTCTCCTAGGAGCCCCCAGCAGCAAGCCAGCCTATTAGAACTGATTTATCTTCAATAGATACCTAGAACTGGTTGCCAGCAGGGCATCCTGGCTCATGCCTATAATCCTATCACTTGGGAGGCAGGGACAAGAGGATGACCACAAGTTCAGCTTGGGCTACATAGTGAGTTCCAGGCTAGCTTAGGCTACAGAGAAAGGCCCTGTCACCAAGAAAAGAAACAAACTGAATCCCCTTATTTCCCTCCCTTTTTTGTTTTGAGACAGGGTCCCCTTGTTAGCCTCAGTTCCAGGCTGGTCTGGAACTCAGAGATCTGCCTCCCAAGGGCTGGGATTAAAGGTCTGCAGTACACCTGGGTTTTTTTGTTGTTTCTTCTGTTTTTGAGACAAGGTCTCCCCTGTAACTCCAGCTGATTCAGAACTCACTAGCTATGTAGACCAGGCTAGCCTCCTATGTAGCTGTGTAGATGGATTTCTCCATCTCACAGAGAGCCACCTGTCTCTGCCTCCCCAGTGCTGGTATTGCAGATGTGCACCACCATCAATCTCAGTTCTGTCTGAAGGACAGCAAGCTCCTATAACTGGTCACTCCTTCCTTTCCCTAATGAAAATGGAGGGTCTTGGCGTCTCTTATCCCCCTTAGATGGACACTGAAAAGTTAGAGTGGAAGGGAGGCTCAACAGTCACTGGACTAAAAGGGAAAAGTGAAGACCTCTGTCACCCTGTCCCAGCTTTTGCACCCCAGGCACCGTCCTATCCCTTTCCCAGATAAAGGATCTTCAAAGAACCAAAGGTCTGGTTTTGGTTTTTATTAAAGCCTTAGACTGATTTCCCCTCTCAAAGCAGCCATCTTGGCTTGGGGTGGCTGTGCAGGTACACGAAGAGGTAACAGTGACTCCCATGACAGGGAGACCTCTGTCCCTGCAGCTTCCTTGAGGGCCCACTTTTCCGCCCCTTAGCCACAGCTTCAGCTCATTCCTGCTGTGCTCGCTTGCTGTCGATGATCTCCCTCCAGTTGTCACTCCAGGAGAGTAGCCGTCTCCTGGTCGGGGGCAGGGCCTGGTGCTGATTGTGGCAGCAGGTGAACAAGATGTGCTCCCAGCTTGGGGTCGCCTCTAAACCTGAGGCAGGAAAAGCAAATGGTATCTGTAATCTGGTTATTTTCACTCCCTCTCCCTAATCCCAGCAGGTCAGATGCCTGGAGTTTGCCCAAGGGTAACAGGCCCCACCTTGAATGTTGACCTTGTCATCAATGAGCAGGTCCCCCAAGACCAACGTCTTGTCCCTTGTCAGGATAATTCGTTCCACAAACTGGGGCCCCAGATAGCGCTGGACCCAGCAGTACTGTATAGGAGACAGGTAGGTCCATCAGTGGGGCCTTCGGGGCCCTAAATTCAGGATCAGCGAGGAGTGGGTGTAAGTGGGACTAAGCCCTTGAACGCGCTGTTCCCCTTTCCTCCAGCCCCCACTTTCTGGGTTTATTTTTAAAATCAGATTTGGGTGCTGGGCGTGGTGGTGCACGCCTTTAATCCCAGCACTCGGGAGGCAGAGGCAGACGGATCTCTGTGAGTTCCAGGACAGCTGGGGCTACAGGGAGACCCTGTCTCAAAAAGACCAAAAAAAAAAACAGATTTGGAAAGCTAGATCTGCTCGGGCGCCGGTACCTTCTCGCCCACACAGTGGTCGTAATTCAGCAGGGGGCTGGTGCAGATGAAGACCTCGGTGCTGCAGAGAAAAGGGGCAATTAGACCTCGGGGAAGCGGGCGCCCTCCCGCCTCCGGGGCCGCTCCGCCCCGCCCTCCTTACTCCGGCATGTTGTACATCTCCTGTAAAGCTTCCAAGGCTCCAGGGATGGGCTCCAAGTCCAGGAAAAAGCCTGGAGACTCGTACACACTGGCCACTTTATCCTGTAAGAGAGCGCGTTGGGTCCTGGCTCCAGCCCTCCAGCAGGTGGAGCCCCAGCCAGGACCACAGGTAGCTTCACAGCCGAGCTGCTCGAAAACTTTCTCGTCCGAGCTGAACTGGACTATGAAGTGGGGGTCCTTTTTATTTCAAACAGTGGGTACCCCTGGAATGGAACCCGGACGGCCCTGCCCAAGGGAGGGGCCCGGAGGTCCTGCCAGTCTCCTACCGCCAGGTCGGGCCGCAGGGCTCGGTACTGGTCGCGGGCGAGGAAGCCGCGGCGCTGCTCCAGTGGCACGTGCGGATCCCCGGGGAAGCGGCTGCGGAAGCCCCGCAGCAAGCCGGCCTCGAAGTCGGCCAGCACGCCGTCCATGTCCACCAGCACGCGCACGACCCCCGCGCGCCGCTGCGCCATGGCGGGAGTCGCTGGGTGCTCGGCAGAGGACCGCCAAACGAAGGATGCGAAAGCAGCGCCGGAATCCGCCGCTTCCGGTAGCCAGGCGGGGGCGGGGCCAGACCGCGCTAATTTGCATAGCGCGCCCAGACGGATGCCGTAAGTCCAGCTGGGCGGGGCTCTGCAGTCCGCACGCGGGTTCCTGCGGGACGCTCGCGTACCTGGCGTACAGCGCTCAGTGGCTTAGGGTGATCCCTTTTGTCTTTGCTTTTTCAGGCGCACCCCACGTCCCCGTCGGCTGCTTCCCGCGGTGGGGCAGAAATACCCATCTCAGACCTTGCAGGGGCCCAGCCAAAGGAGGATCCCAAATACTGAGACGCCCCTTCCAGCGTGGAAGCCGGGGCTCCTGCAACCTGTGGGACCGGCTCTGCAGCCTGCCTGGTGCAAAGCAGCACCAGCCAATGCCTGGGCCGTGGGGCCGCCAGGAAATGGTAAGTGAATGTATTAACAAGCTACCGGTGGTCTGAGCCAAGCCCCCATCAAGCTCTTTGATCAGGACTGGCCATTCTTTGGAACTGAACGTTTTCTGTGAAATCAGAAGTTTCTAGTCCCTTCTAGAAAATTTTGAACATAACTAAATTTTGTTGACAGTCCCCGCCATTTTTGTAGATTCGGGAACTTTCGAATTCCCAATTTTGGAGAGATGGCTCTGCGGTTAAGAGCACTGACTGCTCTTGCAGAGGACCTGGGTTTGATTCCCAGCACCCACATGGTGGCTACAAACTGTCCCCTGGAACTGGAGGTATGGACATTTAACTGCTATGGGGTTCAGGGATTCAAACCCAGGTCTTCTGCAAGAACAGCCAGTATTAACCGCTGAGCAATCTCCAGCCCCACACCCCACACTTTTTAACAATCATCATTTTAAGATCCTATGACTTCACTTTACAGATTTTTGGGGTTTTTTTTGGTCTTTTTGAGACAGGGTCTCCCTGTAGCTGTCCTGGATTTGCTATGGAGGCTCCCGAGTACTGGGACTAAATGCATGAGCCACCATGCCCAGCTGCAGATCCTCTTTTCTAACTCTAGAAGTTGAACTGACTCCAGCAAACATGTTTCTGTACAATTTCTTAAAATCCGCCCTGATAATACCCAAACTGGCTGAACTACCACTCCTCAAAACACCTTTGACTAGGCACTTATTTTTGTAAAATAAAAAAGGCCAACTATCAAGTTATAACACAAGCTAGGGAATTTCCTTTCTAGGAACCCCATCCTTGCTAACAGGCTGAGAAAAAAAAGATTCAGCTTCCCTCCCTGTAAGATTAATAGTAGATATTCAGGCCAGTACATTGCATGCTATTTAAATGTTTTATTATTTTTATTTTATGTGTATGCGTGTATTGCCTACATGTAAGTGAGTGCACCCATGTTGTGCAATGCCAAGGAGGTCAGAAGAGGACTTCAGATTCCCCTGGAACTGGAGTTAAGGACGGTTCATAGCTGCCATGTGGGTGCTGGGAATCGAACCCGGGTCCTCTGCAAGAGCAGTGCTCTTAACCACTGAGCCATCTCTCCAGCCCCTAACCTGTGCTATTTAGCAGGCTAACCTGTTTCAGTCAATTGGGAGGGATCATTGGTCATAGCTGTTGATTCAACATTTTGTAAAATGTTTAATAACCACTGTTAAGACTGAAACCCAGCAACAGAGTAATCCCTACTTTTAAAAAAATTTGTGTGTTTGCCATACGTGTGTAGGTACTGGAGAAGGCCAGAAGAGGGTGTGGATCCTCTGGAGCAGGAGTTACAGGCAGTTGTGAGCCACCTGACATGGGTGCTATGAACAGAACTTGGGTCCACTGGAAGAGCAAGTACTCTTAACTGAGCCATCTTTCTCAAAGACATGCCTAATAGTTCTCTTTGCCAGTAAGGAAGCAGAGGCCCAGCAGACATGCCAAAGGAAGCCCCGTCAGAGCTCAGGTGAACCTACAAGCCAGGTCTTTTTAATATTTTGTTATTTTTTATTTTATGAGTGTATTGCCTGCATGAAAGTGCACCCATGATCCTGCAGTGCCCTTGGAGGTCAGAAGAGGGCACATCTGATTTCCTGGAACTTAAGTTAGGATGGTGGTTAGCTGCCATGTGGGTGCTGGGAACCCAGGTCCTTCCTCTGCCAGAGCAACCAGTGCTCTTGACCATCATCTCTCCAATCCCCTACAAGGCAGGTCTTAAAACTAGATTTGGACACTGCACAAGGCATGTTAGTGGCTGATCTGAAAGTTTCTACGTGTCAAACTGGAACTCAGAAAGCTCTTCTGCTTTCTGTCCCACCTCACTTGAGAGGGTCTCAATCCCCTTGTCTAGTTACATGAACCCTCCCTTGCTTCTTTGAACACCAGCCAATATGGACCTCAAGGTTGTGGAATAAGAGTGCTTGCCTAGCAAACCCAAGGCCCTCGGTTTGGTCTTTACTATTGGGGGTGGGGGAAGGAATAACATAAGGGAACAAGGACCAAAAGACCAAGCGGTGACCACTCTACCTGCAGCCCCAAGACAGGGAGACTTATTTTTGAGACAGGGTCTCTCTGTAGCCCTAGCTGGCCTGTAGCTCACTACGTAGATAGACTGGCCTGGATCTTAGAGATCTGTCTGCCTCTGCCTCCTGAGTGCTGGGATTACAAGCAAGCACAACCACACCCAGCTACAAGACAGACTTAAATATTAGTATCCTGCACAAAGGAGAGGTGGTAGAAAAGTCTAACCTGGCCAAGTTTGTTGGGCTGCACCTGTGATCCCAACTCATGAGGGGTGGAAGCAGGAGGACCACGCCAAGATCAAGGGCAGTCAGAACTACGTAGAGAGAATTTGTCTCCAAAGAAGACCTCTAAGCTTCAACTTTAAATGATTTCTCAAATCACTGGGCAGGATTTATAGTACAAAAAAAGCCAGGGAGAACACTAAACACACTGGAAAACTGGGGATGCAGCTCAGCTGGTAGACAGCTTGTCTAGCATGCACAAAACCCAACAAAGGCATAAAGCAGGCATGGTGGTGCATGCCTGTAATCTGCTGGAGAACACTGGGGAAGTAGCGGCAGGAGCATCAGGAGTTCAAGGCTAGCTTCAATTACATAGTGAGACTCAACCACCTCCACCTCCCTCCCCACTCCCCACCCCCCACAAAATAACATTGGACACAGTGCTTCAAAAGGTGGATATTGTTTACTTTAAGCAACAGTCCAGGACTGGGAAGTACAACACATTTTTTAAGGATGAGACGTTCTTTCAAGCACCAGCATCATGCACACAGCATCATGTTATTTAGTAAGAACAATGTCCCTGGGGGGACCCACACCTCCAACCACTCCTGTGTGATTGCCTCCCTGGCATGCTTCACCATGTAATTCCAGGCAGCTTGATTGTACATCTGAAGCCTTCCTCTGTGCTGGAGTGGCAGGCTTCACTCACCAGCCCGCCAGTCACGTTGCTCCCTGGCTTGCTTCTTGAGGTTAAAAGTAAAAGGCAGTTCCTTTGCTTTGCAGGCAGCGAGGTGTGAGGCACAGGCCCCTTAGTCATTCCATATGGCACAGGAGGATGCACTTAGCAAAGGGCACTGTGGTGGTGGGGTGGCACCAAGAAGCTCTGCTTTAGACACTGGTGCAGAGGGCTGCCGGGCAGTGCTGTGGCCTGCTGTCTGTCCCATTACAGTAAGCCAAGTACAGTGTCAAAACCCCAGTACAAAAGAGCCTCTAACATTGGGAACCAGAGCCTTTGTTCTTAAAAACAATCTACTACTCCAATCTACTACTAGAAAACATTCATGCCATGGCCCACAGACCCAGGAGTCAGACAGAGACACAGAAACCTGTTCTTCAAAATAAGAAAACGAGAAAGCAGGGAAGAAAACAGAAACAGCAGTACATAAAGTGCTTCTTTTTTAATGAAACAAATCAAAAGATGTACAGTCAGGCTCAAGTTGTGCAGTTCACAAGCATGGAGAAAACAAACAGAAAGACAGAGTTCTGACAGTATGAGCTAACCCAAGACCAGGCTGGACTTGCCGCCAGGGGGGTTTCTCCTGGATGGCGCAGGAGCCGGGGCCACCGGGCTGGGAACGGGAGCAGCAGGCACTGGCTTCTCGTCACTCTGCCCCAGGCTGGCTTGGAAGTCTGTGTCCACATGTTCTAGGAAAACAGAGAATGGAGATGAAGCTAGCAGCTACTTCCAGTTTAGAGTAAGAGGTGAAGACTTTTCTTAGCTTGAGAATGGTTCAAGGCATACTGAAAAGCATAAAGATATCTTACCAACCACACCAGCACTAAATAGTCATAATGTGTTGCCAACTTTGTGTTTTGGTGGTTTTTTTTGTCTTTTTGAGACAGAAGACCCGGCTTGTGTATGTATTTTTAAAGCTTACACAACAGTGCCAGGTGTGGTGGCCCATGCCTTTAGTCCCAGCAATGGGGAGGCAGAGGCAGGCGGATCTTAGTGAGTTCAAGGCCAGCTGGGGCTACAAGGAGACCCTGTCTCAAAAAGACAAAAAAAACTTATGCAATAGGCCAGGTGTGGTAGTACATGCCTGTAATCCCAAGTGTTGGAGGAAGGAGAATCAAGGGGCCAAGTTCATACTTCACTACATAGAATAAGTTTGGGACTAGCTAGAGTGGGACGGACCTGGTCTATTAAATAAGTAAAAATAAATAAAGTAAAACTAGACCAATATAAGAACAGATTGTGGGCCTGCACGCCCCTGAACAGTAGAGGCCAAAGGAGCATGTCTTGCTTTCTCTCTACCTTATTCTGTTAAGACAGGATCTCTCAGGAGAAGATCTCCTTGCAGAAGACCCAGGTTAGATTCCCAGCACCACACCTACATTAGCTAAAAACTGTAACTCCAGTTCCAGGGAATCTGACACCCTTTTCTGACCTCCAAGGGCATTGTACAACATGGGTGCACTTAACACACACACACAGGAAATAAAATAAAAAGACAGGCTTTCTCACTGAACTTGGAGCCAAGCTGGTGACTCTTCCTTTCTGTCTTCTACATCATGTTACAGGAATGTGTGGCCATACCCTGCTTCGTAAGTAGGTACTGGGATTTTAACTTAAGTCCCCACAGCAAGCACTCTTACTGAGCTATCTTGCCAATCCCCAAAAGATTTTTAAATTGTGTCTGAGAGTGTAGCTCAGTGATAGTTTGTCAGCATATGCAAGCCCACAAATTAACATCTAATAGTTTTGGTTGCATTAAATGTACAGGTGGGGCTAGATGGCGCAGCAGTTAAAAGCACTGGCTGCATTTCCCGAGGACCGGAGTCCAGTTCCCAACACCTACACTGGGCAACTCACAACTGCTGTAACCAGCTCTAGGGGGTCCGAAGCCCCATACCCTCTTCTAATTTCCATGGGGATCCACGCATGTGCACATACACAAGAGACACAAATGTACACAAGATTAAAAATAAAACTCTTAGCCGGGCATGGTGGTGCAGGCCTGTAGTCCCAGCACTTGGGAGGCAGAGGCAGGTGGATCTCTGCGAGTTCAAGGCTAGCCTGGTCTATATAGTGAAACTAGGGAGAACCTATTAAAAAAAAAAAAAAAAAAAAAAAAAAAAAAAAAAAAAAATCTTAAGAAAAAAAAACTTTTGTGTTAAATAAATGCCCCAACTTCATTTTTTACACTTTTAGAAGCTTACCTATAGTTAGTCAAAATTTGTTTTGCCTAACTGCTTACTAGTGAATTGTCGTCTGATACAGGATTTAGAGTACCCAAATTAACAATGGTTTCCTGTACAACTTCTCCATTTTAGACCAGTGGGAAAGCAATACGGATATTTTTTTGAGATGGATCTCAACTAGCCCAGGCTGACCTTGAACTTGCTATGTAAAGGAGAGTGACCATGAACCCAATCTTCCTTCCAACTGGTGAGTGGTGGGATTTACAGGTATGCACCACCATGGCCCACAAGAACTGTGCTTTGAACTGGAATCTTTTTTCCAGCAGTGTTGTATGAATCCCTGAGCTGCATTCCCCAGTCAGCCATCACAAGGATAAAACAAGTCCACAAGGTACAGTGTAGCTAGCACTGATGTTCATAGGTCAGATGTAGTAAAAGCATTTTCATGTGGCACTTCACTTTATAATGAGCTTATTACAACAGCACACCATCTGTACTAGTGCCATCTGCTAACAGGGAAGAAAAAAAGGAAGCAACTCAACCATTCCAAAGGAATCAGCCCTATATATCACCACACCCCTTGCACAAGAGTCAAGGGCTACTGAGTTCCATCTGAGCAGGTCCTACAGTGTTATCACGTGGCACTATGTGAGAACACCCTTGCCCTTGTATCTACCTAATATCCACGCCACTATGTGCCAGACCGATGGGAGACAAATCTAAATACGTTCTTTTTGACATGTCCATGATTACTAGGTGAGGCTATTCTGGTTTTCTGTGTGAAGTGGGGGGTCTCATAATGTAACACTGGCTGGCTGGAACTATGTAGACCAGGCTGGTCTGTAACTCAGAGATCCACCTGCCTCTGCCTCACGAAGGCTGAGATTAAAGTCCTGTGCCATCACACCTTGACTTTACCCCATTTTCTGAGACAGGGTCTCTCACTGAACCTACTGTTTTGACTATGCTGCCTAGTCAACAAACCTGTGATCCACTTATCTCCACCCTCCAGCTCTGGGGTTACTGGTATATACCACACATGCCCTTTATGTGGGTGGTGGGGACCTGAACTCTGGTCCTCACACATGCACAAGTACTTTACCTACTGACCCCCCCAAACAACCAAGCATATTATTAAAGTTTTCTCTTGTAGCATGGTGCAGTGGTATGAACACCATCTCAGCTACTTGGTAGTCTGAGAAGTGAGGACCTTAAGCTCAGAAGTTTTGAGGCTACCCTAGGCAACTTGGTAAGACCCTAATTCAAATAATCATAACCTCTGCCAGGCATGGTGACCTACCCTGTAATCCCAAACTCAGAAGTGCCATGAGTTCAAGACCAGCCTGAGCTACCTAGTGAATTCTAGGCCAGGGATAGCTAGTTAAGTAGACCCTGTCTCATAAAAGCCTCCTGTTAGGGGCTGGAGAGATGGCTCAGCAGTTAAAAAGCACTTGCTCTTCTTGTTGAGAACCTACATGGTGGTGGTAGTAGATGGATAACAAACAACCAGAAGACAGGAGTTTTGCAGAGTTGCTCAGGCTGGCCTTAAATTCTTGGACTCAAGTGACTTGCAACCTAGGAGTTCCAGAGTAACTGAACTATAAGCATGTCTGGCTTGAAAAAATAGAGAAAGAAAATTAAGTGAACATAGACTCAGTGTCGTTCTCTTATGATTATTTTCCAGTGCTGATCTGTCATATTTGTGATACTATCATAAAGATTCAATTACTTTATGCTATAAGACACTTTATTTGCTAAAATAAAGATCTCAGGGCTGGAGAGATGGCTCAGCTGTTAAGAGCACTGACTGCTCTTGCAGAGGACCCAGGTTCAATTCCCAGCACCCACATGGCAGCTACAAACCGTCCTTAACTCCAGTTCCAGGGGAATCCGAAGTCCTCTTCTGACCTCTGCGGCACTGCAGAACACGGATGTATGACTTGTCTCTGTATTCCTATAATCCTAGCACTCATGAGGGTGCTGGGATTTCTTTTTAAAAGAAATAAAGATCTCTTTAGCTGGGCCTGGTGGCACATGCCTGTAGTCCCAGCACTTGGGAGGCAGAGGCAGGTGGATCTCTGAGTTCAAGGCCAGCCTGGTCTACATAGTGAGTTCCAGGACAGCTGGGGCTACAGGGAGACCCTGTCTCAAAAAGACCAAAAAAAAATTAAAAACACGGCTGGAGAGATGTCTCAGTGGTTAAGAGCACTGGCTGCTCTTTCAAAGGATCTGGGTTCAAACCCCAGCACCCAACATGGCAGCCTGGGCCTGAAACTCTCCTGGTCCCCCTGGTTCCCCCACCCTCATGAGTGCTAGGATTATAGGAATACAGAGACAAGTCATGCCTAGCACTTCTGTTTCTACAGGCAATTCCCAATTCCTCTTTGTAGTCATTTTTTTTTAATTTTATGTGTATATTTTGTCTGCATGTATGTAAAGTGCACCCATGTCATGCAAAGCTCAGAGGCCAGAAAAGGGTGTTGGGTCCCCTAGAACAGGAGTTATAGACAGTTGTTAGCCACCATGTGGGTGCTGGGAATCATACCTGGGTCCTCTGCAAGAGGTCTTTTTGAAACAGGGTCTCCCTGTCACAACTGTCCTAGAACTCCAGACCAGGCTGGCCTTGATCTCAGAGATTCCCCTGTACCACTCTAACAGCCAGTGCTCTTAACTGCTGAGTTATCTTCTCTAGCTCCAAGCCATTCTTGTACTTAATTATCCAAAGGTCAAGGCACTTACTCTAATATCCAAACAAAGTCTGTCTTATTTAAAGATGATCAGAGCATCCTCCCTTGAAATAAACTTTGTGAAAGAACTAGAGTTGACATTTAATCTACCAAATGTACCATAAATTATCATCCATGCCCTGGTTATTTTATGACAAATGAGCTACAAAGTTGCAGCATTCAAGACCACAGAATCATCAGGTGACAAAATTACAGACCATGCTTGAAAAGTTCAGTGAGCTGTTTACCTGCAGGATGTATGGCTAAGCTGGGGCAGGGGAGCAGGAAGAAGGGCTACTCAGGGCTAAGGATATACTGCTGTATCTTATCAGGGCTCAGGTCTCCAGGCTTTCCAAATTTAAATTACATCCACTTGCTAGAATCAGATTAGCTGACTCTGGGGTGAGGAGGGTAGCTCCAGTGGTGGAGTACTTGCCTAACATTCACAAGGTGGTGGGTTTGATCCCCAGCACTGCTGGGGGGTGGAGGGGGTAGCAGATTCTGCTAAGCATTGTCTAATAGTAGACGTGTCCTGGAAACAAAAAACAGGGAAACAAAAGCCTAGAGGAGGGCCAGGAAGAATACTCAATGATAGAGTTTCCCTAGAGCATGTGAGGCCCTAAATTCAATCCCATTGCTTGGGAGCGGGGGGGGTGGGGTGGGGGGGGGTTGCAAAAAAATCTGAAAGATTGTACTCTAGAAACAGCATTTACATTGATACAAGCTGACCACGAAGAGTAACTGACAGACCTTCAGTCTGCTGAGACAGTGACCTTTTTATCATGAGAATCCAGACAAGGCTCCATAGGCCCAGCCTTTGGCCCCCAGCACAAAGCACCTGACAGAGGGGAAGAGGAACCTGGTTCCTGTGCATTCTACATCCCAGAATGCAGCAGTGGGAAGACTATGGCGAAGCAGCATTTCCTTCACACCAAGACTAGGTGACTGGCCTGACTACTGCATTCCACCTGGGCAGTTTCCTGGCACTTGTTCAGAGAAGTGCAATAAATACTTCAAAGATTTCAAATCATTAAGTAAATGATTATAGCTAATTTCCACCTGTAATTGGTAGTGTGGATGGCTCACTAGAAATTTACATCTACCCTTCAAACCATCATTTACAAAATCACCCAGAACATAAACTAGTGTCTTTCTGAATAAGCACTTTAGTATGAAAACCAAATGACCAGCTGGATATGGTGGCAAAAGCCTAGTGCTTGGGAGTCAGAAGCAGGTGGATCTCTTTAAGTTCAAGGCCAGCCTGGTCTACATAGTGAGTACCAGGACAGCTAGGGCTACAGGAAGACCCTGTCTCAAAAAGACCGAAAAAAAAAAAAAAAAACCAAATGAACTCTGCATATTGAATCCTGAGAACTGAGCTTGAAATGCCAAAGCCTCTTAGGAAAAAACTCTTAGTAATGTAACAGACACTGGCCTGATTAATGTAACCATTTTAAAGGGGTCTAGGTTTAAAATTTTTCTTTGAAAAAAATTTGTAGCAGATTAGAATAGGGCCACATTTGGGCTGGCAAGATGGCTCAGTGCATAAAAGCACTTACTGTGAAGCCTGACAGCCTGGATTCAACCCCCAAAACCCAAATAAAGGTGGAAGGAAAGACCGAACTGCACAGAGTTACCCTCTGACCCCACATGCTCAAAGACTTGGATGTGCCTCTCCAAAAATAACAGATAAGGCCAGGTGTGGTGGTGCACACTTTAAATCCCAGCACTTGGGAGGCAGAGGCAGGTGGATTTCTGCCTCCCAAGTGCTGGGACTACAGGCATGTGCCACCACACCGGCTCTAAATAATAATAATTTAAAAATTAATTTATGGGCTGGACAGATGGCTTAACAGTTAAGACCACTGGCTGCTCTTACAGAGGACTCGGGTTCAATTCCTTGCACCCACGTGGCAGCTAACAGCTGTCTGTAACTCCAGTTCCAGGGGACTCCAACACCCTCCCCTCTGACCTTCTCAGGCACGGAAAGACTCATACACATAAAATAAAAATAATAAATTTTTTTTTCTTTTTTGCTGGCCTAGAACTCACTTTGTAGACCAGGCTGGCCTTGAACTCACAGAGACCCGCCTGCCTCTGCCTCCCAAGTGCTGGGACTAAAGGCTTGTGCCACCACGCCTGGCAAAACAATAAATTTCTTTTAAAAAAATTAATTTAGGGCCGGGCGTGGTGGCACATACCTTTAATCCCAGCACTCCGGAGGCAGAGACAGGCAGATCTCTGTGAGTTCAAGGCCAGCCTGGTCTACATACCGAGTTCCAGGACAGCTAGGGCTATGGGGAGACCCGGTCTCAAAAAGACCAAAAAAAAAAAAACTAATTTAAGCTGGCCATGGTGGCACATGACTTTAATCCCAGCACTCAGGGAGGCAGAGGCAGGTGGATCTCTGTGAGTTTGAGGCCAGTCTGGTCTACATAGCAAGTTCCAGGCCAGCTGGGGTACAGGGAGAGCCTGTCTGAAAAAGACCAAAAAATAAATAAATAAAAATAAAACAAAGATCCAGAGAGAGCTGAGCAGTTAAGAGCACTTGCTGCTCTTACAGAGGACCCATGTTTGTTTCCCAGCACTCACACAGCAGCTCAAGACCTTCTGTCACTCCAGTTCCAGGGCATCTGACACTCTTTTCTGGCATCCTCAGGCACTGTACACACATGGTACACATACGTATGTTGAGGCAAAACACACATACACACAAAAAAATTCTTTCTAAAGATTTTTAGATTCATTCCTTTTCTTTTCTTTCTTTGGTCTTTTTTGAGACAGGGTCTCCCTGTAGCTCCATCTGGCCTAGAACTCACTATGTAGATCAGGCTGGCCTTGAACTCACAGAGATCCACCTGGCTCTGCCTTTCTAGTGCTGGGATTAGAGGCATGGGCCACCACGCCCAGCTTGAATTGATTCGTTTTCATTTTACATGCATGAGTGTAGTACCCACAGAGGTCACAAGGGGCGTCAGATTTGCTGGAACTGGCGTTAAGGACAGTTGTTAGGTCTTCTGTGAGAGCAGCCAATGCTCTTAATCTCCCAAGTCCAAATAAATCTACAAACAATAAAACAAAATGTGGCCACACTGACGAACTCTCTAGTGTGAACTTTCTTTTCTCTCTACTCAGAGTATGCTGCTCCTTGGGGTATGATGAGGTCTTCCCTGAAACATGATTGACTCAAAACTCAGATCCATTCAAACAGCAGAACCAACAATTCAGTTCAGAGGTACTCACCATGAATGTCACCTTCTCCCTGGAAAAGAAAAGTTTAAACTTTAGTTTCTATTTTAATTTTACAACACACAAAACAGCCACAGTTCAGAGGACCTAACCTAGTTGAAATCAAATGTAAAATTCCATTTTGATAAAAATAAGTACAAGGTCAGACAACAACTTGATGCAATCTAGGGCAATACTTAATTCTAAATTGTCCCAATGCCAGTAACACACCTAACATACCAAATATGAATGAATGAATGAATGAATAAATAAATAAATAAATAAACATGATGACCCATGAGCAATTAGTAGTTCAGAGGATCTTTTCTCCAAAGAAAATGGCCTCCACTTTTCTCTCTCCTTCCATATGCAGCTGCTGAAGGGTTCTGTCAACTCTAGAGCCCCTGGACAGCCTCCCTACACAGGAAGTCAATGCCTCAGGGTGTTCAGAAGACTTCCCACCAGATGAGCTCCTCCCAGACACACACACAGCACTGTGGTAGTGATCGTCTACAAACACATCTGATAGAGGGAGACACCAGTGCTACCATCCCCTGGAATTCAACTGCAAACACTCACCAACAATGGAAAGAGTCCTCAACCCCACAGTGCTACTCTACACGCAGTACAGGGAAGTAGGGAGATTCAGAAGGCCCCAGAGTCACACTGAAGGGCCTAAGACTAATCTAATGGTAAGAAGCAGCTGAGAAGACCAGGCTGAGTTAGCTCACTCATCTGCCCCACCCCACCCCCATGTTTTGTTTTTTTGAGGCAGGGATTCACAGAGCTCAGGCTACCCTAGAACTTTCTAGGTAACTATAGACGACCTCAAACTTCGGACCCTTCTACTGTGGACCATCTCTCAGTACTGGGATTGCAGGTGTGAACCACTTTGCCGGTTTTATGCTTCAGTGTTTCAGACAGAGCCAGCGCTTCCGGCATGCTGGGAAAGCACTCTGCCAAGTTACAGTCCCGGCCATTTGCCTGACTTTTTGTCTGACTTACTCCCTATGACTCTTCGTCCATCACAACGATTCAGTCCCTCTTCCTAGTCACTGCTTATGAGACAGTGGCAGAACTGAAACTCACAGTGAACAAGCGGATGTTTAACTGAAAAACCAAATGCCCAGTCTGCCTTTCCTCAAGGTTATCACTCTGACCTTGAGATCTAAGAAGTCTCCAGAGCTTGCTTCAGAGGAGTTACTTCTCTGTGGTCCAGGAGACTCCGAATCTTCCCTGCCTCCACTAGACTTGGCACCTAGAAACCAAAATACACTTTCTTATTCTTAAAGAACACACCAGGAAGACGGCAGGCAGAACTCCGTCAGCTGCAAATTACAAAATGAGAACACAATCTAGGGAATGTTAGCAGAGAGCTCAAAACTACTACAGGACTAAGCTTCTTTCCATCTTTTTTTTTTTGGTCTTTTTGAGACAGGGTCTCCCTGTAGCCCCAGCTGTCCTAGAACTCACTATGTAGACCAGGCTGGCCTTGAACTCACAGAGATCTGCCTGCTTCTGACTCCCAAGCACTAGGCCTTCACCTGCCTCTGCCTCAGGCGTACGCCACCACGCCCAGCTTTTTCTTGGGTCTTTTTGAGACATGGTCTCCCTTGTACCCCCGCTAGCCTGGAACTTGCTATGTAGATCACAGAGATCCACTTACTTCTGCCTCCCAAGTGCTGAGATTAAAGGTGTGCGCCACCATGCCCCGTGCTTCTTTCAGACTTTATTCTAGCCCATCATACAAACTCACAAGAGTCATGTTATGCATCCCAGGCTAGCCCAGAACTCCCCATCTTCCTACCTCAGTTTCCCAAGTCCTAGAATTACAGAGGCATGGCACCACAACCAGCTGGTACTTTGCTTTTCTTGCCTCTCACTAGTCAGTACAAAATCTGCTGGATCTGTGACTTTGAAGAGAGGTTACCTATAAAGGCAGTACCTGTTGGCTTAGCCCAAGATGGGGGATTCTCTTCAGGTGTTCCAAAGATGTTGGAGGCCATTTTGTTCTTCCTCACAGGCTGTTCTGTTGGTTCATCAAAGCCTAATGAAAAATTGGACCCACCACCTGGAGGCCGCAAAACTCTAGGAAAAAAAGGCAAAATGTTAATTTCAGATCACGCTCAAATATTTATTGGCATAAGTACGCTCAAGCCTTCCACTTCCCTTACCCATCTCCTTCTCCAAGACTGCAGCGAACAGGAAAAAGGAAGTGACTAATCCCCATAAGAGCTCAGTGCTGGAGGTTAGGGTACCAAATGCTGCATTACTGAACTTGTAGTAGGGTCATCATCCATCACACTAAGGAGCCTCAAGGGCCAGAGGCCACCACATGTAATAGACTGTCCAGTGTCCCTTTGACTTCTGGGGCTTCACCAAATACAACTGTAAAGATGTTCAGAAGCAATATCTTTTCTTTTTTTTAAATATTTTACTTATTATTTTTATTTTATGTGTGTGAGTGTATTGCCTGCATGTATGTGAGTGCACCCGTGTCGTGCAATGCTGCAGAGGTCAGAAGAGGGCTTCGGATTCCCCTGGAACTGGAGTTAAGGATAGTTCGTAGCCGCCATGTGGGTGCTGGGACTCGAACCCAGGGGTCCTCTGCAAGAGCAGTCAGTGCTCTTAACCCCTGAGCCATCTCTCCAGCCCCAGCTATATCTTCTTATGCACTCATTTGAAAACCTAGACAAGGCAACATATACTTGTAAATCAGAACTTGGGAGACTGAAGCAGGAGGCGTGCCAGCCCCTCGGATTATAGCATGAGATCATCCCCAGAGTGTTTCCACTTTATTTTCAACTAAATGAAAAAAAAAACACATACAAAAGTTGCCCGGAGGACTAACTAGAGGGATGGCTCATGCTTGCCTACTAAGCCGACCTGAGTTTGATCCATGGGACCCACATGATGGAAGCAGAGTTGTCCTCTGACCTACACACACACACGCAGAGTAAATAAAATGTTATAAAAATAAAATTTCATTTTAAAGTTGCCCTTGCCCGATATAGAAATTTAAGGAGGAGCGTGCCAAGCATGGTGGGCAGGCAGATCTATGATTTTAAGGCCAGCTTGGCCTACATAGTGAGTTCCAGGCCAACTAGGGACTGTCTCAAAAAAAGGAAAAAGAAAATCTAAGGAGAGCTCATTTGTGTCATGAACTTCAACAGCAAAAATAAGCCATTTATCCATTTATATATATTCTTGTACCTCAGCACAAGGTCAATGTCAATAGGAAAAATTAAGTATAGGATTCCATGGCATTATCTTATTATCTTGTCTTTTTGTTTTTTTTTTTTTTAAACAGGGTCTCATGTAACCTAGCCTAGGTTGGTCCTCCACCCTCCACTCCCAAGTGCTAGTATTTCAGGCATGCTGACATGCCTGACTTTGGGCTCAATGGTTAAGAGCACTTGCTGTTATTGCAGAAGAATCAAACTGGTTTCCAGCACGCATGTCAGAGAACACACAACCACTTTTAACTTCAGCCCCAGGGGATCCAACACCCTCTTCTGGCCTCCTAGGCAAAGTACACTGTAAACACGTATACACATAATTAAAAATAAAGCCAGGCATGGTGGCGCATACCTTTGATCCCAGCACAAAGGCAAAGGAGTTCAAGGCCTGTCTGGTCTACACAGCGAGTTCCAGGCCAGCCGGGGCTACAGGGAGACCCTGCCTCAAAAAGACAAAAAAAAAAAAAAAAAAAAAAAAAAAAAGACCTGAACTCTGAAACGTCAATGAAAGCATAAGGCAGTACAACAAGATACAAGCACAGGCAGACTCTGGGAAGGATTCCACCAGCTCAGGAAACAGTATCAAGAACTGACAAATCAGAGTTGGGGTTGGGCATGGCAGCACAAACCATATCATGTAAGTACTTGGAAAACAAAGGCAGGAAGATCAGTTCAAGACCAGTCTGGTCTACATGAGACCCTATACCAAAACCCAAAAACAGTAGTGGGCTAATAAAATGAACAAATACTCCTCAAAAGATGAAGTGCAGAGGACCAATAAACACCGTTAGCCATCAGGGAAAAACTAAGGTCAGGGGCTGGAAAGATGGCTCAGCAGTTAAGAGCACTAGCTGCTCTTTAGAGGACCAAGGTTTGAATCCCAGCACCCAACTAGTGGTTAACAACTGTTTGTAACTCCAGTTCCAGGGGATCTGATACCCTCTTCTGTTCTCTATAGACATTGCATGACATGGGTGCATTTACATACATGCAGGCATAACATTCATACATATAAAAATTAAAATTAGGGGCTGGAGAGATGGCTCAGCAGTTAAGAGCACTGACTGCTCTTGCAGAGGACCCGGGTTCAATTCCCAGCACCCACATG